CTTAATAAAGCTGTTACCAAAACCATAGTCTTTGGATTGGAATCTAATCGTAATACGATGAAGAAAGGAGAACTGGTTGTGGCTGTTTTCTGAACTCCCCAGTTTGCACCAGGATCAGTGCCCATAAGCTTCTTAGTTGTTAGACCCTAAAAATCCTAAATATTAGGTTGTTGCTCATCCGCTTCCCTGTGTGTAACTTCTTTGCGTTTCGGCACAGCGGATGCCAGCCCCGACAGACCAGCTGTCCCGGAGGAGCGGAGGACATCTTGGCGTTCTCAAACTGAGAAATTTCAGTCCCCATCCTTGTCAGTTCCTGCTGGGCACCACGAAAAGCAGAAACGAGACAAGAGGCTTCCTTTGCATTGGGATGCCCTCCGAGGTGCTTGGAGAAAAGAGATGCGTGTATTCTGCCTGAGGCAGGTGTGCAAGCACGAGGCCCAGGTCAGAGACAAAGCAACATCAAAAGTAGCCACCCAGTGTCCTGACACGGCGATCCCAGGCCAGGGCTGTGCGGCTCCCTTGATCCCATGTTGGGGTTGTTTTTCTTCTAAAGAGAGACACGTACATCTGCTTTTAAAAAATGTACTTTGCCAATGATGGACTTGAGCAGTTCTTCAAAGAAACCACCCAGTGAACATTTAATGAAACATCTTTCCTTTTAGATTATCTTGTAATAGTCATAGAATACTTCCTTCAAAAAATACAGTTACCCTCAGCAGGGGCAGGCCGCTTCACATTCTACCGTGGCTTAAATATCCAGGTCTGACCGCGCTGGCCGGGTCCAGGCACCTCTCCTTGTTCACGGCTGTAGTGTATTTCATGTCACCGCATCATTGGCTTAGCTGTTTCCCCTGTTGTATGTGTCTGGCCGGTTTCCAGTTTCATATTGTGTTGAACTGTAGCTGCCATGTACGTGTTTGTATATATTAGGTTTTTCCCTCTGGAGTTACTTTCTTGTAACATATCCCCCAAAGTGGAATTACTGGGTCAAAGAGTTCTTTGCTCTTGTTACATATTGTTCGATTTTTCTCAAGAAAGAGGAACCACTATAAAGAGCCACCAGCAATGTATGAATGTTCTTCTTTCCTTAAAGTCCTGCCAGCATTGTGCTTTATTCTTTAAAGAAAAAAAATTGCACTGGCTAAATAGATGGGAGATTGTTTTAAGTGACATTTCTGTCATTGCTGGGGGTTTGAAATCCATCAGCGTGGCATCTGGCCAGATGGCCACGGGTCCGTGTAGGGTTCCCAGCAGAAAAGGCTATTGCAAGCCGCGCCCAGGGAAAAATAAAGAGGTCACCTGGGAGGCAGCCCCACCAGTGCCCAGTTGTCACTTCTCTTTAACATTAAGGACTTTTTTTTAAAGACATCTTTTTTGTTGGTTTTTTTTGGGGGGGGTGGTAATTAGATTTGTTTATTTACTATTTTATTTTATTATTATTGTTTTGATGGAGGTACTGGAGATTGAACCCAGGACCTCATGCATGCCAAGCAGATGCTCTAGCTGAGCTACACCCTCTAACCCCACTAACATAAGTGACTTCTCTGGAGGCTTCCACCACATATGCAAGGTGGATTTTGTCCCTGAAGGTAGATTCCAAGAATTCTTTACATTAATCTGGACCTGAAAACTCTCTCACTCACCTTTCCAGAAGGTGGTTGGGGTGAGCGTGACAAGTCTGGTTTTTACGAAAGCATGGATTAAATGGAGTTCTGTTGCCCTGGGGCGGGGGTACTCTGGGAAACCACACAGGGCCTGGGAGCTCGGCTCTGTCTCTGCTTGTCCCCACTTGCAGAAAGAGAAAACCCCACCTTGTATGTGGGCAGAGGTTCAGGCCCTAGTGTGTCCGATGCATCACCTCTTCTCCCGCAAACAAGGGCCTTCTGCCCAAACAGGAGCCAGTCCACTGGCTGAGCCCGGAGGCCCCCACAGAGGAAGATGTAACTGAACCCAGAGATGCTCAGCCGAGTGGCCCCAGATGGGAGGCTGCTTCCTTGCTGGGGCACGGTTTTGACTGGAGATTCTTGGGGTCAGCCCAAGATGATCCCAGCTGGAGAGCCATCAGCACACCCTGGGTCTTCTGGCCTCACTGCCTCCAGACCGCTGTGTCCTCGGCCTGGATACCCTCCTCTATCTTTGTTCTTGCTGAGACCCGTCACTTCAGTTTCATCTTTCCCTGGAAGCTCGTTCCTGACCTCCAGGTCTGGGTTAGGAGCTGCTCTTCTGAGCTCCCAGAGCACCTGCCATTCCTCCTCCTTACACTCGGTGCACTGAACCCCGGTGGCTGGAGCTATGTTTGACCCGTCTCAGTTCCCTCCCCAGTACAGTGCCCTGTGCGGGGCTCAGTTTGTTGAATGAACAGACGAATGAACATCTGTGATGACGAAAGGATGAATTAATTAATTCCGGTGCTTACAGTGGCTACCAAGGCCGACTGTTTGCAGAAATCCAGGGCTGAGCCAGAAACTCGTGGGACACCCAAGGCAAGTGAGCCCTTGGGTTCTCTTGACTTCAGAACCTGGAGATGAGTGAAGCTGGCGCCCCCAAGTCCGACAGCAAGGGGAGGGCCCTGGAGTCTGGGAGGCAGCTGTTCTCCAGAGATCTCTCAGCTTTAGTAAAATTAGAATCATTTTTCCCAAACACATTTTGGGCTGTAGTCTTTGTTCTAGTAACCCCAGAGTCCCTTTATGAGGGAATGAGGCCATAAAATAAAAAACAAACAAAAATGATCAATCAAAACTTTGTTGCGAGGAAGCAGACTGCCTCTTCTTTTATGTGGCTCTTCTAAGCCTTTCCAAATAATCACACATGTCTCCCAGTCCATTTCAGGTCCTGCGTCCTTACCCCGCTTCATTCAATGACCTTGACAAACGTTAATGAGACATTATAAAGTTCTAGACACACTGGGAGGCCAGGGCCAGGATTCTTTGGGTTGAGGGTAGGTGCAGAAATTCCAACCTGAGACAGCTGCAAGGAATACAAAGAAATACAGCAACCAAAAAACCCCACAAAACCCACAAAACCCCCACAGATTAGAGCTGAGAATTTTGCTGAAAGCTGGACCTTAGACCAAGGACAGGGACAATACTTAGACCAAGGACAGGGACAATACTTTTGAGTGGCCGTGGAGATGGTCTCTGAAGGGCCAAACATGCTAGGAGAGGAAGAAGCTTCCAAAAAGGAAGAGCATATGGCCATTGCCTTTAAGGGAAATCAGAGAAAAACAGGCTGTAGCACACAGAATGGACTGGTAAAAGGGAACATTATTTCCCAACCACGGCCATGTTCATGTTGCAAAGATGCTAAATACATCAACAGTAACTTTTCATTTTAATAATTTAGACGATGCACGTTAGTCACGCAAAGCACTGGCTTGATCTGTGTTTGATATTACAGATGGTTGCAGAAACCAACCTTTTAGGGAAATCTTCAAAATTTTAAAGTTGCGCATACTCTGGTGGAAAAGAAATAAATGGTAAGTCCAAAAATTCTTGCAACAGTGTTGTTTTGCAGCATTTATAATGGTCTTTGCCAACTTCCGATTCTTTACAGAAGCAGGTTAGGTGGGATATAAATGATAACTGAATAAGTGAAAATAGAGTCCCTGGATTCTACTATTTTCTCTTTACCATAGGTGATAGCCAATTAAAATTTAATTTTTTTCCAGTATATCACATAATTAAAGACAACAGCGACTCTTTCTCAGGCAACTAGATATCCTATTTACTCTCATTATAATTTTCTAAAATATAAAATTCCTTAAACTGGGAATCACAGATGCCTACGCACCTGCCAGATTTAAATTTTGTATTTTCACCTTAGTGATAATTTTTTTAAATGAGCAATTATAAAGAGAAAACTTACAATGGCAATTTACACTTGGTGTTTTCATAAAAAGACTGTTTCTTGTCATTGTTTTCTCAAACTGGGATTCACAAGCAAATTCTGAGAGGACTAAAAAATTATTTCCCTTTAAATTCCTTAAATTTAAGAAACATTGCTGTAATACATATCCTTAGAATTCAAAGCCCATTCTTCTCTGGTTCTTTTGAACTTCAAATTAATGGCATATTAACACTACATCTCATATTTTGCAGTATCTCTTGAATATTAAATGAAGGCCTTGGTTGTTAAAGATTTACTTCTACTTTTATTTCCTAAAGCACTTCTATTTTTCCATAACAAGTTTTTAAATTTGTCAAGAGGCATATTTGTTTTTTTCTTCCAAGACCATGATTTCCTCCATTGTTATTAAAGATTCAAGTAGGAGCCGCATGAATGCCATTAATTCCTTATTGTGAGGATCATGGAACTGTTAGGAAGCTTCACTTTGCCACGTTACAAGAATACATTTTGAATTATGCCTGGGTCACAATTGCTTTAACAGTCCAATCAAATCCTTGGGACACTGGGATAAAAGGATGTTCCATTCAGATAAGGAAGATTTATTCACGATGTCTGATACTATGAGCTGGACCTTTAATAAGGAAACATCAAGGAGTCCGATAAAAGAATTCCAATCTGGGATCTTTCTCTAAAGGCAAGGAATAAACCATCTAAAATGAATTTTATTCAAATCCTGCCCAATTTCCTGGGTGAAACTCAAATGCCACTTACTCCAGGACATCTTCCCACATCAGCTTATTTCTTCCTTTTCCTCAGCTGGCCCTCTCCCCTCACTGCATCTCCCTCAATCTGTCCCTAGCCTATGGCCCTCCCTGGACCGAGCGTTTGTACACTTGGAGTCAATGAACTCCAAGAAAGAGGTTCTTCTAAATGGGAAAAAATTACATTTTTACTAGCTTGTGCGTATTTTGGGAGCACCACACAGATACCTGGTGCAGGAAGGAACCAGTGGATAGACGGATGGATGGATGAGTGGGTGGGTAGATGGATGGAGGATGAATGGGTGGGCGAGTGGATGGACAGATGGAAAGATGCAGGGCAGATGCAATGCACTCCACATTTACAATGTCTTTAATCTATTCTTCATCCCTTAGAAATACAATTTTCCTTCCAGCTAAGGCTGATGGAAATCTTCATGCTGATAATATCGACAGCCCTTCTCCCAAAGCAGGAACCCGGGGAAACTTGGCAAGAAACACTGACTCTGGCTCCAGCTCCCAGCCTTGGCCACAGGAACCACAGTGGATGACCCGGGCACCTGATCCTCCTAATCTGAAGGCAGGGGACATACAGTCACACAAAACTGCTGTGGCTGGTGCAGCCGAGCCAAACCTGCCTGCCAAGCCTTTTCCGATGGCACAAACCCCAGTTTTAGAAGACTCCAGGTGGAGAAGGACTTTGGAAAAGGGCACCTGTTTTGGCCTGTGTACAATAACAACCCAGCCGCAGGAAAAAATGCAGTTTCTCATCATTCTGGGAACGTGGGTTTGAGAGACAAAATACAAAATAAAAATAGTTAACTCTCATTTATTGAGAGCCTCCTAGTGATCTGCAACTTGCATAGTTGTCCCCAACCCTGGCAGTCACCTTGTGAATGTTGGTGAATTACTATTGTCACCATTTTACAGATCAGGAGACTGAGGCTCAGAGAAATGAAATAAGTTGTCTCAATTCACACACATGTAAGTAGCAAAGTGAAGGGTTTGAATCCAGGTCTTTCTGGTTCCAGAGCCCGAGGCATTCCATTTTCTTTAAATAAATTCTTTATTTGTGGAGAAGCATCATTCTCTTTGGGAGGCTGGGGGAGGTCTCATATAATGATTCTGAAATCAGACCACTGTTGTGAGTACTAGGTGGGGGTTTTCAAAGGCCCGTTATATTGACTGGGTGAAACAGTGTCCTCTTTGGGAACTGCCCACGACAAGGGGGAGTGGCTGTCACATGCCTTTTCTCTGTAGCCAGAGAAGTGGGCTGCTTTGGGGAGCAGCCTGGAAGCAGGAACAGATGTGTTAACAGATAACAAACAGTTCATGAAAGAGAAGGCCCTGCAAAAAATATCATGGGGACACAAGGATTTCCTTTGCAAGGGGACTGATGAGGGAAATCTCCTTTCAGACCCCTTAGCTCGCTGTTCTGGGGAAACCAGATGGAACAACTTGTTGAGAGAGCAAAGGGCCTCGTGCTCGGGGAGCTGGGTACCCGGCAGCAGCAGGTGGGCGTAACAGGGAGGCCTGGAATGCGCCCTCCCCCTCCCTCCTGGGGACCCCACCCCCCCATCCCCTGGCTTCAGCCACCTCAGGGCTGGGCAGCGCCGGCCTGGTTCTGGGTTGAAACGACCACCTCCAGCACTTCCAGGCCGGCTCTGAAGTCCCCGGGGCACAGTCTGCTGCTCAGATGGGTCCAGACCTTTAAATTCCATCTGAAGTCTGGTGACTCCCAATTTAGGTCTCCCTCTCGGATCACTGAGCACAAGACCCATTTATCCAACCACCGACTCGGCCATCCCTGTGTGGGTGACTAATAGGATTTCAGATGTGAAACAAGCCCAGGGTGCTCTTGTTCTCTCCCGTACCTTCTCGGGTCTGTCCTGTTTCAGTACCTGCTGTCACTGGCCACCCAGAGGCTCAAGCCACAATCCCTGATGTCACCGTCGACTCCACACCCCCCCACAGCCAGTCCTCAGCAGGTCCCGCCCACGCCCCGGGCAGAGGACACACCTGGATTCCTCCGTCTCCGGCATCACCGCTGGTCCCTCCCCAGGCTGAGCCGCGTCACCTCCACTGCAGGAACCCCCGCCCTGTCTGATCTCCGCCTGCAGCCCTGGTCTCACCTGGTCCCCCCGGTCACCTTGCTCACAGGTCTCCTGCCACCGCGCCCTTTGCTTTTTCCCTCAACCACATCAAGAATGTTCTTGTTCGGCTTCACTCTCAAGTTCCCTCAGCCTGGGATGGTTTCCCCCAGATCTTTGTTCGGTTAGCTCTTTCTCTTTGCTTAGTTCTTGGCTCACACGTTACTTTCTCAGAGGCGGAGCCCACCCGTGGTGACTCTTACCAGCTTCTACGATCGCTGGTGTTTTCCCCTTTCACCTGTTCATTGTCTGTCTCCCTCCCTGATGGGGAGGGCTGTGCATTTCGTCCCCTGCCGAACGTCAGGGCCAAGCATGGGGCCTCACACATAGTAGCTGCTAAATAAATATTCGTGGCCTAACTGAAGGACTGTGACACCAACCTGTTTGTCCAGTGTCCCCTCCTGTCACCCCACCGTCCACCTCATCCTCTCGCTGGCTGCTTGAAAGGGTCTGGGAGGAGGGGCTACAGCAGTCCCAGACTGGGCCCCAGCCCTGGTCCTGCCCCGGCTCCTGTCACCTCCCCCTGGAGCCATGCCCTCCCACCTGGCTTCTGCCTCTCTCCCCAGCTCCCAGCTCTTTCTGGTGCGTGGCAGCTGTGCAGTTGTTGTTTGCATGGGATTTGGTCTCTCTCCCAGAGAAGCGACAGATACCCCGATGGCCAGGGTCCAAAGGGAGCTGTGGATTCCTGCCAGCAGCCGGCGGTGCGGGAGAGTTTTGGAAGGAGCTCGGGAACCCGAGTCTGGAGGCCGGCTCTTTGTCTTGACCCTGGTCCTAAGCAGGCGCACGGAGTCTTCAGGCCTCGGCTGCCTATAAAATGAAGCCACGGTGGTGTCTGAGGTGTGGGCTGATCCTGGATCCCATGAGTCTCTGGATACCCACTTCCTCAAGAGGAGGGGCCAAGGCTGTCAGTGATTTGCAATAATTTTCCCATCTGCTAACTGGAAATTCACTTCACCACGAGGGTTGTGCGCCTAGATTAATATTTAGAAAGGATTTACAGAGAAAAGAACCCAGTTAATCCTGAGATACAGGGCTTTTCACTTCCATTTGCGAAGTGGGTGGAGGCCGAGTCCTTGGCAAGGACAGTCCCCACGGTCCTCCGTGTAAAGCCCCTTTACTGTTACAGTTTGACTGGCCTTACAGCCATGAAGCCAGTGCCAGCTTCCGTGGCCTCAGCCCCCGCTGCTGTCGGATGCACTTAGCGCCTGACTCTGGTCCAAGGAGGAGACACTGAGCTAACTGAATGCCGAGGGTTCACAGGTAAAACTTCTGGACAAAATAGGCCATTTTAACAACGGCCAAAGACTGCTTTTTATAGCATAAAAGATTAAGACTTGGACTTCGATGTTTGATTTGGGCTTAAATCTTCCTCTATGTATGTCAAGCTAGTTGGCTTATTTAAGCCTCAGATTCCTTATCTATTAAATGGAGGTCTACCTGTCTGATCACAGTCTTATGAGGATAGGATAACACAGAAAAAGCCCATCTCCTAATGCCTATCAAACAGTAAGTGCTCAAAAAACACTAGCTATTAATATTCTACTTTATTCTGTCCCTTGCTCCCCTCGGTCACTGTGTGACAAGACACTTCCCTCACTCTCCAGGAACTCAGATCTCACATTATTGTTTAAATATTAGTCCTTTTGAGGCTTGGAATAAAATCTCGGCTGGAGCCTCAGAAGATGGGAACATCAGATAACTAAGCTTTCAGAAACTCTCCACCCACACACACCCAGCAATGAAAAGGGCTTTCAGATCTGGTGCTGGAAATCCACTGGTTCCTCCAGGGTTCCCTCCTTCCTCCCTTAAATGTCACCACCTGAAACTGACTGAGGGCACTGGCAGCTGCTCATTTACCAGTGATTACGTGCGGGCGATGCATCCTGCTGAGTATGTCAGGACATCCTCCTCTGCTCTGGGAGTCGGAGGGCAGCCCCCGGGGAAGGGCCCACATACACTGCTCCCCAATCTGTCCCTTCGATGCTCTGCTGGACTGACACCTCCCCACCACCTGCTTTCAGTTCCTTCACCCCTAGAATGTCCTGAGAAAAACATGTCAGGCCAGCGGGAAAAACTTTCTGACCCCCAAAGCTCTCACATAGGAAGCAGTTGGTTCCAAGTGTAAAGACCCAGGCACGTGTGTTAAAATATGCAGAGCGGTAGGAGTTTATACTTGTTAACAGATATTTCCTTACAGTCTTGTGATGGCTCCCCACCTGGTTTTTGTTTTATTTTTTTGTTCCAGTGGGCAGGGATGGGATCTTTTTCTCCCCGTTTTGATGAAAGTTTCAAGGGCCATTCAATAGATTGCCTGGCAGTTATAAATTAAACCAACCAACCTAATTGATAAGTGCTCTGAATTTTAAACATTAATTTTTAATTTTAACTACCAATGTCCTAAATGCCTAGAAGCCTGAGAGTCATAGAGCTTGGTGGTGTTTGGAGGACT